TAAGAAGAGAGATTACAGCAGTGGCAAGAAAATCTGACAACAATGGCAGCTCGAACAGACAAAATAAACAAGAGAGATTACAGCAGTTGTTGGAGGAAAAGAAAAGAAACAAGAAGAGAGACTACAGCAGTGGTTGGAGGAGAAAGAAAATAAACAAGAAGAGAAATTACAGCAGTTGTTGGAGGAAAAAGAAAAGAAACAAAAAGAGAGATTACAGCAGTGGCAACTGGAAGAAAGGAAACAGGAAGAAAGTCTCCAACAGTTGCAGGAAAGTCAACAACAGTGACAAGAAGTACAAATGGAAAACATTAGCAAATTTCAAAGTGAATTGAATACATTAAAGGATGATTTACTATCTTTTACACAAGGAGGATATATTAGCCATCGACCTAATCAGCCTCAGACAGTGGAAAGCCCCTTCCAGACACCGCAGCTAAACCCTAATGCATACATCTTCAGTCCTGTTAGAAGTCACATCCCAGATATGAATATCAGCAATAGGGGTGATCTAGTACGAAGCCACAGGAATTTGGTGGGAAGCATATAGAGCACAATTTGAGCTCCTGGCAGAGATGAATGGATGGACAGAGGAGCAGAAAGCAGTATATCTGGCAACGAGCTTGAAGGGACAACCACTGGAAATACTTGGACAGTTGTCAGCAGACAACAGGCACAACTATAGCACTGGTAGCGGCTCTAGAACTCGGGTATGGAACCCAAAATCAGTCTGAAGTCTACAGGGCTAGGTTTAAGACGAGAGTCCGTGCTAAAGGGGAGAGCCTGAAAGAGCTGGCACAGGACTTGGAAAGTATGGCACAAAAGGCTTACCCAACTGCGCCACCTGATCTCCTCAAGCTGTTGCTGAGGGATCAGTTTGTAGACACCTTGGACAGTCTGCAACTGAAGATACAAGTAAAGCAAGCACACCCCGCTACTATGCAGGCTGCAATGGCCAGAGCTCTTGAATTTGAATCCTATGTTAAGTCCAGCACAGAGGTACCAAGGTGGGTACAGTCATCAGGATTCAACGCCAGAAACTGTCAGCTTTCAGTGAGGTTTGAGGGACTTTGCTGGCACTGTAACAAAAACAAACCTAGGCACACAAAACTCAATCCTGGAAACTTCAACACAGGGGAGATGCCACGGCAGAAAAGGCTGCTACCCAGAAAGGTTGTTGGAACTGTGGAGAGCAAAGACATATGAGGAGCTAGTGTAAGAAGAATACTACCAATAAGTCAGCTTCGGGAAACCAATAGTGGTTGGTATTGAGGGACGCCAACCAACCCTCATTGTGAAAGTCCCAACATCTAAGTGTAAAATGGCAAGCATACATAGTGTCTACGTGACAGGGAAGCTGGATGGCCAAAGGTGCGACTTTGTCATAGATTCTGCATCTCGGAAAACCCTTGTGAGTATCAAGGTGCTGGATCACAAAGGAATACCAGAAGCCATACAGAAGCTCTGTGGTGTGACAGGACATTATGCAAGGTTGTGGGGACCAGTGTGGGTAACTATTGAGCTCATGGGCATGAAGAATAGACAGAAAGTATTCTTGGCTGACATTGAAGACCAATGCATATTAGGATTGGACTATTTAATACCGAGGAAGTGTGTAGTTAACTTCGATAAAATGACGATTGGAAACAACAAAGGACAAATTCCAGTAAGTGTTGCTGCATCTGTTGATTTGTATGTCACAGCACTTAAGTCAACTACATTACCCCTATATCAGAGAAGATAATTTGTGGTAGGATAAACGAACATCCCCAAGGAAGCCCAATGCTTGTGGATGACCCATCCCGGCCAGTGGATTTGAAGATTGGCAGATCATCAAATAGTACCTGTAACAGTGACCAATTTCTCTAAATGTGAACAGACACTTAAGGAAGGGGCATAGTTGGGTGTGTGCCAGGAGGTAGAGCCAGTCAATGTTAAGGCAAGAAATGCAACTATAAAGAAAGAACATCATCTCCCAGAACATTTAACTAACCTCTATAAGAAGAGTATGGTCCATTTGTCATCATCACAGGCTCTTCATGTTAGGGAACTTTTGGCGAATTATGCAGACGTCTTTTCGAAAGGAGATCATGACCTCGGCTGCACAGACCTTTTAGAGCACAGAATAAACACAGGCAATCACCGTCCAATATAGATCCCTCCAAGGAGAATAGCTCCAGAGATAGAGCAGGTCATGGATGGCCTAATTAAGGAAGGGATAGTCAAGAAATCAGATAGTCCCTGGGCAGCTCCCATCGTGTTATTCCAGAAGAAGGATGGGACCCAACGTTGCTGTGTGGACTTCAGAGCTCTTAACAGTATAACCGAAAAATACTCGTACCCACTGCCAAGAATTGATGATACTAAGTGGAGCCAGGTGGTTTTCAACTCTGGATTTAAAG